CTGTGACACGGCACGCAACGCCGCTGTCGACATGCCGTCAGCCAACAGCGGTACCGATTACGTAACAGGCAAGCGCTGCGACTATATAAGGGAACTACACAGCCCCCGCAGTGAGTTGAAATGTGGCCGTCACCGAGTTCAGTTGTTGTAGTTAGTTAAAGTGTATCATTCGCCGAAGACAGTTCTCCAGTCCGCAGTGAATGAGTTAGTGTGTGTTAAGGAGTGGCGCCGTGAAATATAGCAGCCGCCGAAGACAGTGAGTGTGTGATACAGGGACACTTACATAGCTCCCGTATCGTAATTAATATGTGTAGACTACTGAGGACAGAGTGAATAGATTATTGCAAATAGGGTTATAAAGTGTGAAACCCCGCAACTGTGTTATAAATAATTGTAGCTGATACTTGTAGGTTGTTAAATAAACCAATTAACAATCCGAACGGCGTCTTCAGTGGCTAAACACGTTACAATATGTATATAGCAAAATGAAGATTTCTTATAGACCTTCAGCTGCTGAACTCATATTTCTGTTACCTTATTCTTTGCATGTTATTTGAAAAAAAAAAAACTGTACACAAGAAATGAATATTTGGGAGAACCCCTCTATCAGTCCATTTATTAGTCCTCACATTTCTGAGGAATATTATTTTTTATTAACTGGCCTACATTTGAACTTGTGCCAATTTATTTTTGGTAAGCTTTACATGAAACTCAAATGGAACTTTGTCAGTTTTCACATTAACATTTCATTAAGAGAAACTTGACAAATGACAGAAAATAGATCGTATTAAGATCTAGAAATGTTATTTGAATCATTTTTCAGTGTGATGAATAGACAATGAAATATAAGAAAAATATTTTCTCATTCTATGGAATGTGATATCTGTTGTATGATTAACTGTGCAACAGTAGATTTATAACTTATATAAACAAATATCAAATCAATGAGATATGAAAAATCACAAAGAGTATGTTAGAAAAAGTAAGTACTGCATACTAAAGTAGACCTTTTACAGAAACAGAATGGTATTTTATTATCACTGTCTTACCTGATACGGCCAAACTACCATCTCCTGTGACTTTAACGCATGTGACATAGCCAAGGTGACCAGTAAGTACATGGATATCATTGCCAGTGTTAATGTCCCATACAATTAGATTTGCATCACGAGATCCTGATACTACCAGTGACTTGTTTAGGATGGAGACAGCCACACATGTCACATGGTCAGAGTGACCGACCAACACCTGCATAAACACAGAGCCACCTTGAAATAGAACAAAGTCTTGGTAAGCTGCAGTAACCGTTTCCCCTATAAATAACCATAACTGTACCACTGTTCTCATAAAACTGACAGTTGGATACTATTACATTTGTTGTGAAAGTAACAACTGCGTGTACTAGGGAATTCAGGGACTGAAACCTGTTTTCTTCTCCTCCATTTGTGAGTCATCGCCTTTAGTATCACCATTTCAGTACTCTTACAATTAAAAGTAGTTACATGCATGTAATATATGAATATGATTAATGTCATGTAGAACACATATAACGAATAAAAACTTAATAAACATAATAAATGGAACAGAATTTTATTTAGCACTGCAGCAAATACTGCTGTGGAAATGACCTGAAATCACAAATGTTCAAAATGCCCATAAGCAGTGTCAGTGCACCACTGATAATGACAAAACAGATTAAGACATATGTGTGTTGTTGTGAAACAGTAAATCATGACTCCACTCCTCAATGTTGCTGCCTTCCTGGAATGCACAGTATTCTTTAGAGTATCCCACAACTAAAAGTACAGTGGTGTTAGAACAGAGGACTGGGTTGGAAACCCCACCAGTAAAATCTGATAATTTCTGTTCTAATTTCAAACCATAGAACCATTTCAAAATCTTCATCAATGACAATGATTTTTTTAAAGTATATTGTTATGTGTATTAGAATTGATGCATTTTGTATTTATCTCATTGTGCTGGAAAATACAAAACTAAGGCATGGAAATTTGAAATTCCTACATATTTCTGTGTTATAACCTGAGAAATAAGAACATAGCTACCATGTTAATGTTGAGAAGTGAGACATAATGCACTTTACTCCAATATGCCGCAGTAACTGGCCTGGGATGGGAAGTTAGAGAGAAACCTGAACATGAAAGGAACCTTCTTCTTCAAGGAATGCATCCTGTTGAGTGTTTATAACTGTATACGTTTTTTGGTATAAATGTCTAACACAGCAATCAATAAAAATAGCTCATTTTCACTCTATCATGTCAACTGAGCTCTTATTTGAGTCTTGGCTTACCTGTGCCAGCTTCCCTCCTGCTACCTGCCACACCTTAAGAGACATGTCTCGTGAACCTGTGATTACATGAAGTGAGTCCATTGTTAATACAAAGCATGTCACTTCTTCACTGTGAGAGACTGTATACTTCTCATCTTCACGATTCACTGACCAAATTCGCAAACTGCAACAGAATATTATTCTTTGACTCACCACCATATAATTTCATTGCATTACGTGCTGCATCCTGTGACCAGCTGACAAGTTAATATTAATGCCTTTCAAATTACTGTGATTTTATATTTCAGAGATCATAGCAAGTATGTTACCTTACCGCATTTATCATAGTGTGTGTTTCAAAAAATATATTTACACTTAAGTATCTAACATGAAATTCTAGTAGGAATACGTGGTATCAACTTTCCTTTAACCGCTATCATCTGAGAATAACAGCTTTCAAATCCTATGTACTGTAGGGCTGGTAGCTGGTTCTCAGCTTGGGGGTAATGGCATCAGTCTCAAAAAGTGTGCAACACTTGGATTTCTGGAATGTGTACATGCACCACAACAACTGTGCACTAAATACACAACTTCACTCTTCAAAGAGGTTACATATAAAAAGAAAATTTGCCCTTGTGCTTGAGCACCAAGCCTTGAAAATGGACAAATGGTATGGAAATAAAGGCCCATATTTAGAATAACAAGCTGGTCATCCATCTTGTAGCCACTCACTCTATGGCTTGCACTATCCCAGTCCTCTAACGTCTGAAGTGCCCCGATCAGGCCAGTGATGAGTATGGTTGTCATGGTCAAAGTAAACCGATTTGGCCAGTTAGGCATTTAAACTCTGCTAGTGGAAGTGCGTGCACATGCCACTAGTAGAAGCACATGCACAGTTCTAAATATTTATTTTTAAATGTAGTAATTACCAGACAGACTTGAGTAAAACCTTAATAGAGGAATTAAAATAATAAATGAGCAACAACAAAAAAGGGTATACGTATGAATTATGCCCAAACTCATCCATGAGCCAGTACTTTTATTGCAGATTCTGCAGATTAATGTGTTAAAAATATACAGTAAATTTTGATGTACATATATACCTATTTTGTTATCTGCTTGATGTATATATAGGCTGAAATGAAACTACAGTATTCGATTTCACTAGGAATGCACAGAAAACAGATCACACTCTGTATCTCAGCCACGATGCAACTTGTCTGTTCATGACCAAAGAAAAGGCAGTAATCTCTTGCAGCTACAATGGAAGGTCTTAACACTGAAGAAGGGACCCCTCTAGCTTTTTCTTGAATAGCCATGCTTTCATTCTTCTGTCCTTTAGTCAAAAGATTCGAAAATCCGAAGAGTGTAAGCAGTGCTAGCAGAAGGCCAAATGATTTTATTGCTTCCATCTGTTTTATGACATCAGGGACTGCTAAAATATGTCAAGTGTTACAGGCAGGACTGATTTTATAATGCAGAACAACTCTGTGAGGAACTGGGAAACCATTTTTGCAGTACATACCAAATTAAAAGAAAAAAATTAAAAATAGGGTATAACGCTTTGTATAAAAATTTTCAAATCTTCCGTTGTAATGTGTGATACTATGTTCTTTGCTGATACAAAGTTAATTCCATCCATTTATCATAAAATTTGTGTTAGATACAGCATTTTTAAACACAATGCTTAAAATTGTTTAAGCACCCTAACAGGAACGAACATTTAAATGCAGAGCAGCAGCGGGCATTTAAACGTGCACCAGTAGCGGGCATTTACATAAACTCAGGACAGCTCAAGCTTAACACCATTTCAAAAGTCTGGCGCTTAAAGGTTAAAACCCGGGACAGAGTAATTAACAAAAATTAATTACACAGCTATTTTTGTGTACAATTGTGCATTAACAATGAGCCCCTTGCCTGAAAACGTGTGTTCTCTCTTAGAGAAAATTTTTGCATCAGAGAATAAAGCTAATGTGGTGGAACTGGGTTTTCTTGCGGATCATCAATCCAAATGTAATATCAGTCATCTCGTACCTACCTGTTATCACCACTACCACAGACTGCATACTTCATGTTGTTGGTTATTGCAAGACACATTCCTGGACCAATACAAGAGTGCAACAATGTAGCATTGTCTGCTAACCATACTGCCAGCACTCCCTGTCGGTCACTGGACACAACACGACGACTGTCTAACATGACAGCCACAGCTGTCACTGTGGCTTGATGACCCTGTACGTTTCATAAAAATGCAATTTGAAAGAGGAAATATCACAGGTTAAAATATGACAAAACATGCAGGCTTACCTTCAAGTTTAGTCCTAAAATAGGTGATATCTCTCCTTTTCTTGTTATTAGGCAACAAACCTGGGTCTACATTATTGGACGGAAATGTTATTGTGACTTCGAGGATATGTTGTGTTGTAATTGTTCTCACTGACTGTTTATAAAGCCAATCAATGCCAATATCAACTCTTACAACAATGACAATGACAACAATAATAATGCAGCCACTAAACAAAATAAGGGATGTCAGGCAGAATTTATAAACCAGCTTTCCTATGGCACAGGTTTCTGTTTCTACTGATTTTGTGTTCTTAATATTATATTTAATTAAGTAATGTTAGTTTATAATCCAGCAACAAGAAGTAATTTGTCTTATAGGTTAGTATGATGGGCTTATTTGTAGCCATAAAATCAAATTTTCACTTTGACTACATTTTGTTTCTTACTTGAAGTTATCACTATTTTATAGAACATCGTCATTGCTGTCATCGTCGTTGTTGTCATCATCATCATCATCATCATCATCATCATCATCATTATCATAATTGTAGTCCTCATTGTTATCATAGTCATTTCATTTCATTTTGGGGAAAAGCATTTTACTTAAGCAGATCTTATCTTCATTAATTTTGTCAACTATATCCTCAGAGATTCATGTAGTTGAATTAGTTTTCCATGTATACAATTGTCAACATCAAGCAGTATTTTTGCATATTTTGGAGGCATGTGTCGCATGCCTGTCTCCAGTAATTCATTAGTCATCACTGTCCAACTGAAAGCTAAAGAAAATTTCTCATGGTCAACATGTTGTTCAATATTTTCAAAATAAATAAACAGATAGCTAAATGAATGGACGAACAAAGAAGCAAATGTGTTAGCAAATGTTGCATGTTTTTCAAAGATCATTTCAAGACCTTATATCAAGTGGTGGTAGTGTCACACTTATCTTACAAGTTCATGTGTTCGCCATTTTTTTTATTAAGCTCACAAACCTAGTTCAAAATGACAGGAATCCACATTCGTATTAATGGTATGAGACATATGTACGTAGGTCGTACCGAAAGTCATTAGCAACATTTTTTTGCATGCAACCTGGGAACAGCAGATGAGAGTATGGTGGTAGGTGGAACCAGCTGTTGTGTTAACTTTGAGTGTCTTGTGACGTCAATAGCTTGCATCACATGACCAGTATCACTCCTAACAAAATGGCCAACAACCATATGTCATTTCGCCTGTGTGCTGTCATCGAATTTCTTGTGAAAGAGGAAATCCCTGCTGCAGAAATTCACCAGAGACTTCAGCGTGCTTATGGAAGTGTGTGCATGGGTGCAAGCAGTGTTCAAAGATGGGTGAAACATTTTAAAGATGGGAACACCAGCATTGAAGATGAGCCTCGGAGTGGTCGTCCTAGAACAGCCTCAACTGAACGCAGCAAGGAAAGAGTGGATGAGATCATTTAAGATGACAGGTGTGTGACTGTGGACACAATAGGCCGAAAACTTGGAATAGGGCACAGTGCAGTACAGGAGATGATTGAAAGCTTGGACTATAGGAAAGTTTGTCCTCGTTGGGTCCTGCAGTTATTGACCAAAGACCACAAAGGTCAGCGAAATGCCATCACCTCAGAACTGCTGCAGAGATATTGACACGAAGGCGATGATTTTTTGCTCTGTATTGTGACAGGTGATGAAAGCTGGTTTCACCATTTCGAGCCTGAAACGAAACGGCAGAGTATGGAATGACACCATTTGCATTCTCCATCAAAAAAGAAGGCAAAGACAGTGCCATCAGCTGTGAAGGTGATGGGCACAGTCTTCTGGGATGCAGAGGGGTTTATTCTGGCTGAATTCCTGGAACATGGGCAAACCATCAATGCTGCTTGTTATGTCCAGACACTGCACAAGTTCCGTCGTGCATGGCGCAATAAACGTCCGGGATGAAACATCATCATCCTGCATAACAACGCTCACCCCCGCACCGCTCGCCAACCACTGGAAGCAATTGCGAAGATGGGGTGGGAAGTTCTTCCACACCCCTTCTATGGACCTGATCTGGCACCCTCCGACTACCATCTTTTTGGATTTGCGAAGGATCAGCTGCGTGGACAACGTTTTGAGACAAGGGAGGCAATTCAGAAAGCAGCATGTTAGTGTCTTCGGATGGCTGGAACGAAATTTTACAGAAGGGGAATTTTCAAACTCCCAGAACGCTGGGAGAAATGTGTACAAAGAAGTGGTGATTATGTGGAAAAATAAAGAAAGGTCTGTAGATTGAGGTGGTGTATTTGGTTTGTCCATAATAAAGCATGTTACTTTACAAAAAATTTTTGCTCATGACTTTCAGTACGACCCTCGTATAACTTGCAAGAATGTAAACAATAGAATTTTGAAGAAGGCAGCTTACTGTTTTGGAACCCCGAATATATTTTTTTTTTGGCTTACTTTGAATACTGAAACCACGAGACCCAAAGTTAGGCCCCATACTCTGGCAGTCTTGTCTTCAGATCCTGAGACTGCAAAGAGTCCATTTGAAGAGAATGCCACGCATGTAATGGAAGCAACGTGTCCTTCTAATGTTGAGTGTAATTCATGAGTGTTGAGCTGCCAAATGTTTACCAGACTGTCCACTGATCCTGTAACAGTAGACCAGACCCATTATCATGGAGCTAGTATTTTCAGTAGAATTCAAATCAGAGAGCTCCTGACTACAAGAGAAAAGCACTGATCAATGCACCATGATGCTGAGAAAAGTACACATTTTCTTTAGAGATTCCATTAGAGGAGGGAAATTTTACTCATAAAAATGACAAATTAACAATGATGACGGTGATGATGATGATGATGATGATGACGATGACGATGACAATAACAAGCCGTGTTTGTTCTGTGATGACATCAATTAAAGATTACACTTAGGCTTGTAAAAAACAAAATGTTACATTGAAACAACTTCAGAATTTAATTCAGCTGTATGGCATATAATGCTCCTAGCATTTGAATATAAAAAATACAGAACTTGTATAATATTATAAAACAACACTGGACATCAAAGCACCAGTTTCTGGCTGACAGTCATCATCTTTACAGCGTGTCCATTACTACATGGAGATCAATGGTCAGATTCATGCCCCTAGTACTAATTTAATGTAACACCAACGGGCCTCAGGGCCAGTTCAGCAAAGAGAAAAATCCTAACCCTTGTGGGAACTGAACACTAAATATCTGATCCATAACCAGTCAACATATATTACAACCATTTACTCCTTATACAACATGGATGTAGGCTCAAAATTATTAAATGTGCTTAAACTTTAAATCACAATTTGGAAGTTCTACAATCAAAACGTTTAATCTGATCTGGAACAGTTACCAGATTTTCTGAGAAGTAGTGGATCTAGAACGGGGTCCACTCAGCCTTGTGAGGATAATTGAGGAGCTATTTCAAGGAAACAGGGGCTATGGTCTAGAAACCCGAGATTAAGGGCCGTGGGGATCCATTACGCTGACCACGTGACATCCTCTATAAGCAAAAGTTGGCACTAACTTTGCCGACAAGTGGCAGTCGCACGGTCAGTATAGTTCGCTTGTGGACTACAGGCCACGGAGTTTGTTTGGTTTTTGCTTTGATATGGCTAACAAGGTGCGTATTTGACTTTTATTTCAAGGAACCTGAGAGCTATACCAGCGGTAGCGTAGCTACTGGCAGGGCCTCCCTTGCTGGACAGGTCAAAGGGTAGGCATCAGACGAAGAGAGACACCAAAAACTGATGTCGGAAGCAGCGTCATCAGCAGCGACTTGAAGCACAGAGCAAATGATGCTCGAGATGGTTCAAGTTCGTATAGCAACAGGCGTGACCAGAGTGGTTTGAACGGCTGTTGTACTGCGATGTGGAAAGCAAATGGAAAAACTACCACATTATCACTTTTCCTGGATAGTCTCTTTCCAAAAACAGAAGATCGCATTAAGTGGAGAAACTGTTTTGGAAGAGACTGTGGACCTGTCGTCTGACAGATTACTGATGATGATGATGATCAAGAACGAACCTGTAACTGCCATTAGGCCATCCCGAGATATATCCAAGCATGTAATAGGTGCTGTGTGACTCTGCTGAGACTGCTGTGATGTCTTTCGACTGCTGCTCACAGGACTAATGCTGCCGCTTGTTGGTCCTATTGCATCCTCACGATGGAAACTCCAGAATGTGATGCGATTTCCACCTGAAATATATCCACATCACATACTTCAGGTAAATTAAAATTCACTTTACTTAATGTGCTTATAATTTAGTACACTGATATAAAATTTGTGATAATTTACTCTTTCTTCACACTGCTAGTTGGGCATATTCCATATAGTTATTAGAGAGAAAAGCCAAACATTTTCATCAGGCTATTCTCCAGACTTGGCAGGAAGACTACAAATGTTCCCATTGTGAAACGTTTCCACTTGATGAGAACAGTGGTCTTGCAGTTCTAGGCATACATTGCATCCAGTGTGAATGTGGCAACAGGTTCCATGCCTTTGAGATGAGACACAATGAGTATGTACATGACACAATGTTTCTTCCAGTAGGACACGTCAGCCCTACCTGAATACAGCAGTGAATGTGTCCACCAAATAATTTGCAAGGAAATATAAGTACTATTCACGGTTAGGGGTACATGGATGACTTGGTGAAAGAGGTGACTGGCATCCAGTTACAACATAGTAAAAAAAAAAATTCTTTTTTTAAATTCACTTAGTGGGGGTGGAGTCCAACTGGGTCTACTCGGCACTGTGGCCACTGATTGGCCTACTGTACCTGCCCTGGGTGATTATTGATGATGATGGAGAATTTGGTGGAATGAAGATTGGTAGGGGTAACCGAAGTACTCAGAGAAAACCCGCCCCAGCACCACTTTTTCCACCACAAATCCCACTTGACCAGACCCAGAATCGAACCCGGGCCACCATGGTGGGAAGCCAGCTACTAACCACTTGAGCTATGGTGTGGCCTACAACATAGTAACTTCAAGAAAGTTGGGGCTTCTAAGTCAATCATGGGTTCCAGCTATTTCCCATTTCAATGGTTTATATTCATTCCATCCTCCAAGTTAAGCAATATTTAGGTCATTCACTGTCTTATTCACACTAAGCAACATTCAGTAAAATTATATGTTGGATGGCGATTGCTTGTTTCTGCCAATTTTCTCTCTTTGACTTGTTCCTGGTCAATGAAGACTATCCCCCATTAGGCCTAAGTATGTAGATCCATCCATTTCTGTCACTCAACTTGTCAGTCTTTGGTGATTGAAAGTGGCAACCTCAAGAACCTATTTTTTTGTTCCATATCAATGTAGCTGATTGTCTAACTAGACATCACTACATTAGAAAGATAGTGACAATCTAAACAGCCCATTTTACGTTTTGATTGCTTGATATATTTAATACGCATTATAGAAATTTACAACTGACCCATCCAAGGAGTCCTGCTATCTACCTATGTGATTCAGATTTCAGAATTGATTCATTCTGAATGGGAACAGGCCAGACAGCCTTCTCATCTCTTGGATTGGGAAACCAAATTTCACATGTATGAACCAATTAAGTAACTACATCTGTAGAATAGCATCTCTCTTGAGATACTAATAATTGCTTGATACTCTAGCAATTCCTGGCTTTTTATGGAAACCAGAGGTTTGTTCTGTGTTCCAAAGAGTCTGTCATGGGCCAAATCCTAAACACATCTATATACTATAACACATAGGATTATAGTTCATATATTTCAACATTTATGTTCTTGTAGAGGCAGTGGGAACATAAAGGAGAAAGAACTGAATTATAATGTGCATTTTCAGAATTAATGTGCCCTTAGTTTCATCATGTGTCATTCAGTTACTGTTGTTACTAGGTAATTAACCTTTAAACGCCGGACTTCTGAAATAATGGTAAGCTTGAGCTGGCCGGAGTTTATTTAAATGCCCGCTGCTG